TTAAGATTGACCCCAAAATGTTACAGTCCTTATTATGGGGACCCCTAAATAGGTAACCGTAGTTTTGGTGACCTAGACCCTCAACCCTCAACCGCGCATACATGTATAAATATACATGAGCAAAAAAAAGCAGGCCAACCCTCAACCCAGAACCCCTACTCCCTGATATATTTCCATACATATGTTTTCATATTTGTACACATGTGCCCATATGTGAGTATGTAATATGCATGGATAACCTTTTTTTACATGGATATGTAAACAAATCTCACTCTCTCTTTCTTTCTGTATACATGTACGTATATATTGACCCTTTACCCCTCAACCCGAAACAAGAAGGACCCATCTCTTGGCCAGAGCCTGCTGTGGGAATGCCGGACCAAAAGCTTGCACCATACGCAGCGCCAAGGTCTCTGTTGAAGAGAGGATCGGGCTGTTTTGGGGTGGTTGGAGGAGGGGTCATGGGGGGGGACCATATATGAAATACAAAAGTATTTACATATATACATATACATATATGTATGTGGGAGATAGATAGGTAAGCAGCTATATATATATACATAAATGTATATATATATATATACCATGTAGACATCTACACATCTACACACCCATGTATATAGATATATGCACATAGGCTTCAGGCTTTACGGCTTAGAGCCTAGGGATTGGGATTCAGGGCTTAGGGTGATCCAAGGCATTATAATGATGGAGTTCTAAGCACTGTACAACCCTAGGGCTCTAAGGGTCCAAGGACCCCAACAATAGGGTTTTAGGGCCCAAATACCATTAAAATTAGAATATTTGGGCCCTAAAACCCTATTATTCGGGTCCTTGGGCCCTTAGGGCAAGTCGCGTATCTATTGAGCTTACATCCTAAACGCAGATTGCTCGCACCCACCTGGAGAGTCATTTGAATCCTGAACCCTTCACATGAGCCCCAACTCCTGAACCCTTGAATCCTTCTGAAGTAAGGAGTTCCCTAAGTTCAGGAGGCAAAGGAACATGACCCAGAATCAAGGTCTCCTCAAACCAACATAGTTTTTTTCAGACCCCATGGGAGTGACGGCTTGGGAAAAAGTGAGAGAAACCCTGAACCCTAAATAGTAATTTCCCTTTTCTTTTCCATTATCACAATATAACCCCAAAAGCACTCGAATATTCTATCTACTTAAGAGGGACTACGATTGAATGAGGAGACTTCTACTCCACGCTTGCCAGCTGGAAACTGCCCAGCCAACGCACCGTCACGGCCGATGCGTTCGCGCTGGACGGTCATTCTAACCTGGTTTGATGTATGCACTTAATTCAAGCTCGAAGTATGGCAAAAAAATGTGCACATATTTTAAGGCGATGATCTTCCTATTTACTCAAGATGCAACATTCCGCACTGTCATCCAAGGCGTGGCGCTCCAAGATTTTTTCAGATGACAAAAATGCACATGTATTAAGCCCAGCAATAGCAAGCTAATTGGAGTAGCATTACTAAGAACAGTAATAGTAACAGTAATCATGATAAGATTACCAGTCCTAATTGCAAGAGTGATGCCTGTGGAAATCGCAACTTGAAGTGCAGATTCGTTTTCTTACCTCTGGTTAGCTAGGAATGAAGGAATGGATCCGCTAGTTTTCCCTATATAGCCCATTATCGTAGTTTCCATGTTCTTTTCCATTGCTTCCTTCCGAGCTAACCTGAAGCCCCAAACCCTAAATCCTAAACCCTAAACCCAAGGCCCAAAACCCTGAATCCTAAACCCCAAGCCCTACACCCTAAACCCTAAGAGAGAGCAGCGGCTATCGAGGCCGAGTTTGGGGCTGCACGTGCGTGGTTCGGGACCAGTAGCTGTATCCTGGTCCCGCTACAGTAATATGGTATATTATGGTATATTCTGGTATTCTATAGTATATTATGGTATATTCTTGCTTTTCTGGTATATATTATGGTATATTATGGTTTTACCCAGGCCCCTGATTGATTAGGGATCAGGAGGGGGTTTATTAATCACAGGTCTACATCACAGTACAAAAGCAACAGAACTGGAGCGGACTTGGCTACTCTTCGCAGGACGACAGACTTGAATACTACTAGAACTACTCCTGCTGCTTTTGCAATTGCTAGTGTTAGTTCCTATACCATCTCAATTCCCATGTACGGGTGCCAAAAGGTGCCAACTCGCAAAGCCTTGAGTTTCGGTCTTGAACTCAGGCCTGCCACCCAGTACTATTGGTATATTTGTGATAAATGAGGACTTTAATATATCTATCTTCTTCCCTTGTGGTCATTATTACTGGGCTCAGGGTTTAGGGTTTAACGTTTGAGGTTTAGGAGCCCTACCTAGCTTGTAGTCCACCAACCCTTTAGTGGTGTAGGTTAGGAGGACCCCCCACTCTGTAATAGTGGTATGATAGGATACTATAATCCTTATTATCCCTTATGGTCCTCAAGCCTAAACCCTACACCCGAAACCCTTATTAAAGGGGGCGGGGTCCACCTAAGGTGTAGGGCTTTTAGCCTGAAGTGCGCATTCCTGGTGTAGTGTACTCCCCACCGCCCCCCAAAAAGAGATCTACATATGTGCCACAAGGAACCTTGATTTTCAGCGAACCAGGAGAACATCGATGTTCCGACAGGATCCGTGTTTGCCTGCCCTTGCTGTGCCGTCCTCAGCTTCAGCCTCACACTGAGAGAAGTAGATAGGCAGAAAACACCAAAGTACCAGAACTCTTCAGAACTCCTGCATCAACGCCACGTGCTAATTACTCACAATCCAATAAATGACAAGCGTCCAAGTCTGTCTTGATGTCAAGACCTAGGGCTTTAGTGTTTGAGCCTTTTGGTACTCAGGCCTCTTAGCTGGGACCCGTGGTTTGGTGGTTTCCAAATCAGGGTTACCATTTTGGGGGTGGATATAAAAAGGGCTTTTGTATTTTGGGGCCGATGTTGGGGTACCCTTTTTTATGGAAGCTACCACTTGTTGAAGGACTCTAGTTCCTTCACTTCACTTTGGGTCTCGATCCTGTTCTCGCATATGTTTTAGGTGGACCCCCCCACCCAGTAATGGCGACATAGTTCGAGTCTTCTTGTATTCATATTATGCCACTATTACAGGTTGGGGGGTCCACCTAACATGTGTTGATCAAAGGTGGGAGTGTTGCAAGACTATCAAGCTGAAATCCTTAAGGGGACCCCTTATAATCTCGAAGTAAGTCTCATATATCTTTGTCGTTCTTTGGGGTCTCTAGGGCCCACCCTTGCCATGCTGCGTTCAGGTAGTCGCTACTTTGCCATCCGACCAGGAGCAGACGGCACAGCAGTTGCAATTCCGGCTTCTTTGTCCTGTTTCTCATCACCTCCCCCTTAACCCCCCTCACGCTTGCAACAAAAATAGCCTCAAGCCAGTACCGCCGAGAATTTAGAATTAGGGGGAGGGGGAGGTTTACCGTTACCTTCAACCCTCAACCCTATTCACGGTGACGCAGGCTCTGGGTTGAAAGTGATGGTTTGGGCAGTTTGGATTGAGGTCCGTGTCGGCTTTGACTTTGCCTAGACCTCTACACCCAACCCTCTTTTTGGGGTTACACAACTTTGTATATGTACTATTAAATTATATACCAGACATAAAGCTAGGTATCCGAAGATAAGGGTAGGGTAAAAGGGTCTATCTACAGAGACAAATGTCAATTCTATGTTGGTTTGGCAAAGAAGTACTAGCAGAAGGCGTTCCGGGCCGTTCTTCGTACTTCCACACAATACGCCTCGCTACCACACACAGGAACCCATTTTTACTGGCTCTTAATAGAAAATAAGGGGTTATGTTACATAGGTAGTGTATAGGGATAATATTCCTCTATTCCCTACTAAGAACGAGTAGGCATTCTGGCATCCCATCTTTTTGATTTTCAACAGAATGACCTGTCACTTCTAGGCCTACATGCTGTAGACCGGGTGGCACATGAACCACATGAATGGACCTGAGCACGACGCATTTGTAATGCTTTTTCCTGCCTTCGCCTCATTCCGATGTCTTACGCCGCCTTTGCAGAATCAGGGCACTAGGTGGACTCCAAAAGGGGTTTAGGTTAGGTACTGCCCCACTCATGAACAGTTGGATAGTATTCATACTATACTTATATATAGCCCTTAATATGAGCCCTATTATGAGCTGTTAATGGGTGGGGGCAGGATTTAGGGTCTAGGGGAAACACCAAAGTCCAACCAGGTTAGTCCGGCAGATGCCATTTCACCGCTTGCAGCCCAGCGCCGCGAGCCCAAATCCCTGGAGACGACACCTCAGATATCTGTCACTAGGTGGCAATCTGGGAGACTCATTAATTTGTTTCATTTTATACGAGAAACTCATTCGAAACATCGGTAGGCGTCTTCAAAGTACGATGCAGGACTCCTCTGAACACCGACCGCCTGTCGCGACTATCCGCAAGTCGAGCCACGTGGAACAACCACAGCCGATAGCGGACGCATCGCAGCAGACTAATCAAAGAGCGAGTCGTGCAACGGTGAGGGTTGTACCTACTTAAGAAAGCATGTCGGTGTAGCTTCAAAAGCGAACCTCTTCGCAAAACCCTAAAAGAAGAGCTGGAAGACTTCTTATCTGGACACCCCCCCTTTTCAGGATCATGCAGTCTAAAGTTGTGTCATTTGGGATTGGGTCTGGGGCACCTCGACAAAAATGACATCCAAAGAAAAGACACATCTTGGAGAACATCTCGTTTTCTTTAGGATGTGAAGCTATCTGGTGGTCCTGCCCAACTGGCTAGCTGTTTGGCCGAGTCTTAGCACCACTGCTTTAGCCCATGCCTGTGGACCCCCAACCTTCCCCTAGGTTCCAACGGGGCTAAGGAAATAACAGCTTTTGCTTTTGACCACACCCAGAGAAAGAAGGATGCACAAAGAAACATGCGCCCCAAAACTGGACCCAGAACTTTGAGCCCGGCCCACTCTTAAACCCTAATCCCTAAACGCTAAGCCTGGGCGCACGGAGGCCGTGGAACAGCGGTTAGACGCTCTGAGCGAAGACTGCGAGGACTTTGTGGAGCAGGCGGCTTCAAATCTTACAGGGTGCGGCACCTGTCAACGGGTTGCTTGGGCTACATGCTTCGTGTCGTAAAATCACGCTGAGCCCTCAACCCTTAACCCCCACCCTCCTTAATCTTGGCGGTCTGAGGTGGTTGAGATCAATCTGATCTAATGTTGACTTCGTATTAATAANNCCCCCTCGATTGATCTATCTCCGTCCCGAAATGTACGTTTGAAAGCCTATTTAGTATTTAGAGTTGATTGAAATCTAGTTAAAATCGTTGTCCCGAAAAAAATCCACGTTTGGGGAACATTATAATTGTGGGAGAGTTGTTATTGTGTTCCGGGCTCGGGATTTTATAAATGTAGGGGTAGTTCTTAATATAAAGTCAACATTGGCAAGCCCAGGTAAAATCTGGGCTTTCAAGGGTAGACCAAGAACCTCGAGCCCTGTGGGCTTAGGGTTTACCTCGACACTCCAGCGTAGTACCTGTTGGTTAGTCCAAATAAAGTCCTAACCAGAAAACCATACCAAACCCAAAAGGAACTACGTTGGAGGGTCCAGGTAGGGTCTATGTGAGCTATAGTCTAAACTCCTTAAAGGGGGTTATACAGGGGCTTGTATAGGGGAGTATGATAAGAGTCATTACGGGGGATACTAGGAGTCTAGACTATGGCTCATGTAGATGCAACCCTGATCCTCAACCTCTGAAGCTTGGGGTCAGCAAGCGAGAAGCCGGCGTAAGGGTACTCTTTGGGGAAAGGGACCTTAATCAGAGGGTCTCCGAGTTTAACCCCCCATACACCCTGCACCCTAAAACCTACACCCTGCACCCTAAACCCTGCACCCTAAACCCGAGGGAGCGAAACGTGGCACAAGCAAGCCAAGCTACAGCCTCCCTAATAAGGGTGCAAGGACCCATATAATGGGATTTTAGGCCCAAAACACTATAGCGGTTCTAGGGCTTAGGGTTTATTACTAATGGTATTTGGGCCCTAATGCCCTATCATTTGGGTCCTTGGACCCTTAGGCTCTGACATTACCGTCCTTCATGGCCCAAGAGAGTCTCCTGTATGTCCATAAACCCCAAAAGCATAAGCCCTGTGTCCTGCACCTGAACGAAGACAAGACTAAACGAAAACACCTAAGCCGTCTGGATGTTACGTATCTGTGAAGGATCACAATGAGAAGGCTTCTAGTCATTCCGTTCGAATGTGCGCATGCTAGACACGCATTCGTTTGTTTGTCAGTTTGTTTCATTGGTTGGTTGCTTGCTTCTTTGTTTGTTCATTCATGTCTTTCATGCATGCTTTCGTTCATCTTTTCAAGCAATCATTCAATCATTCAATCATGCAGTCAATCAATCAAGCAATCAGTGAGTCAATCAATCAATCAAACAATCAATCAATCAATCAATCAATCAATTAATCAATCAACCAATCAACCATTCAATCATTCGTTCATTTGGTCTCTGTCTCTGTCTCTGTCTCTGNNTCTCTCTCTCTCTCTCTCTCTATGCGTGCGTGTAGATGTATTTCACACATTTATGCATATGCAGGCGCTTGAGAATCGCTTGGCTGTTTTAGCCGAGGTGGTTCCGCACCCTAGCCAGACATTGTTGAGCTCCGGGTTACGAGGGGGTAGGTTTGCAGGATTTACAGACTCCTGAGGGTATGGGATTTTGTATAGGGTTTTTGAAGCCCTAAACCCTAAAGGCTATGCAGGCTTTTTGGGTTCATGCATCGGGTATAGGATAGGGCCTCGAAGTGGTAGAGTTGACTGCGTTGAGGATACTGGGTTTCTTGCGGCTTAATATGGTTCACGGTTCTGAGGGCGTCGGATTACAGAAGTCAGGTGGAGGATTTACGCTTTGCTAAGTTCGGGGTTCGGGACCATGCCTTTAATTGTAGGCATGGCTGGTTTCAACGCATGTAAATTTCCATCAAAACGAACATCCGAGTCCTGTACTAGTTATCAAGCCATGTATGCTCTCAGTGGTCAATCTGACAGCTGTTGAAACAGCAAACGTGCAAATCGTAGTAAACCCTAAACCAAGCGTCTTGGTGGTGGCTGTGCTTTGTATTCGTGAACGGCCTAACGCCTAACGGGTACATATTCCCAGTCTGCCGATAGAAAGATTTGTCTGGAGCTTCAAATCCTGAGATAGCTCACTTTTTAGGGTGTACATATGGACCATAGAGTTCGCTGCTCGATGATGACAGTTCCGAGCGCCCGTTTACTAACCCTAGATGACTCTTTACAAGTAGGATTAAGTAGGTTACCTAACCTCGTAGTAACCCCAGGGCCCCACGAAGACGCTGACTCTGCTTATGGCTGTTTCAGTTTAGTGACGATTTCTACAAGCTGCCATTTTGGTTGTTCTGGTCTTGTTGTCCGTCTTACTAATAATACTTGTTGTCCTAAACCCTAAGCTCTAAATCCTGAAACATGTGGCATGACACTGGAGCTCAGACGCCAAACCACACACCCCACCCTCCCCACTCAAAAAATGGAAGCCCATATAGCCCTTTTACGCGGACTTTGCAGGACCCATTCGGGGCTTCCATGTTTGGGGGAGGGTAAGCTAAGTCCTAGACCCTGCGCTTGCTTAGGAGCATCGGCGGACTTCAAGCGTGCACGTGGGATTTAGCAGCCAGCATTCTTCAGGGAAACACCCATGGGACTCCGGCCCCTATGTATAGTGCCTTTTTGGGGCTTTATCAAATCTGTACACATGAGCTAGTTGGGGCCTGCAGGGGACCAGAAGCACCATTAAGCATGTATCCGAGGACTGCAACTACAACATTGAGGCCTACATGTAGCCGTGCGAGCCTCAGCCAGCGCCTCCGCATGATATCTTGGTTCTCCAGAGGAGAGGCCCCCTCATATTCACCAAGATAATCGAATCCAGAGGACGGTAACCCCCCAAAAAAGCATCATGGTGTGGCAGGAATTCTTAGAACTTGTAATGTAGCATGTAGGTGTCGGCTTGCAACGTTTGGACACACGCAGGTGTAAGAGTTCTTGTGTTTGATGCGTTTACGGGGTAGCCTCCGCAAGTGTAAGAACGGGGATTCCAGTACAGACCTCAATGTACTAGAAGCCTTATTGTAGGGAGCCCCAAAAGAGTACTCCTAATTTTGGAAAACCACCTGGATTCCTTGTTTGATGGTAATGTTTTTGCCCCCGCCCGCTCCACTTTCTTAGCTGACATGGGCAAAAACTTGCCGAACGCCGTCGCACTGTCCTACACCCTAAACCCCTAACCCCAAGGAATATATCAGCTGCGCTGCAATTCCGAAGAGACTCTAAACCTTGTGTCCATAAACTCCTCTAGGCATACAAGTTGCCCAAAGTAGGCACTATTTGTAGATTTTTTGGGGGGGGTAAAAGGTATGTACTATTTGTAGATCTGATAGTCCAAACTATGTGTTATTTGCAGATGTTAGGGCGCAAGGTAGGTACTGTTTGTAGATTTTCGGGCCCAGGGTATGTGTTATTTGTAAAAATTAGTGAGGGCAAGGTATCCTAGCCCAGGGTAGGTGGTATCTTTTGGATGCCCAGGGCTCGAGGCCCCGAAAAGCTTATCATCCCCAGTCCCAAGCCCATAATCCAAACCCCTCGAACTAAACCCTGACCCAGACCCCCTAAAGGATCCAAAAAATGGAACCCCCTAATAATCCCCTAGTTTCCCCAATGTAGTAATGGGTTCATATTGGGGGAGTTCCTTTTTTTGGATCCTTTAGGGGCTCTGGGGAACCCTAAACCCCGAGCCCTGTACACTACTGGGGCCTGAATGATTTTCAATATCATTTTGAGGTCTGCTTGTGGTACCCTATAGTATGTTGTAGCATTTTCTCAAGCATACAAGGAGTCTAGGAGTCTAGGACTATGATATTGGATTGTGTGAGGCTTCGCCATCAACCCTCAAACTTGAGCCCTGGAACCTCCAAAAGTCCCGAGGCCCGTGGGTGGATAGAATCCCTGAAGCCACTGAAACCCAGTTCAGTTTTTAGGGTTTTGCGCATTTATTCACGCTGGGATCTCATACGAACCTGCAAAAACTCCTTCACGCTAAACATGCCTCCTGCGGGCTTTCAAGATTCATGGGGAGGGATGGAAGAGAATACTCTGAGGGAATTTCAGCGGGGTAGAAAGCCCATATAAGCCTTGCATAGCCCTTGTATACTCCTAGGCTGCCCATATGCTATAGTCTAAACTCCGAGAATCCCCTTAGTAACCCCTATAATACTCCCCTCTATAGCCCCCTAAACCTACACACGGGGGTTTATATACATCTAAATGTATATGTAACCCCTTTTAAGGGCTGTAGACTAGAGCTCATATAATTAAGCCCAAACCCTCAACTCTACGTAACTCTCTTCAAGGAGTTTAGACCCTGAACCCTATATAACCCCTTTGAGGGGTATAGATTAAAGCTCATATAAGCCTTAGGAAGCGGGTTCTCCTGCGCTCAGGCCGGCTACAGGCTCAGACCGAGCCCTTGGCGAGGCAGGTTTAGGGTTCAGGGTATAGGCTTTAGGGTTCAGGGTTTAGGGTTCAGGGTTTAGGGTTCAGGGCTTAGGGTTTAGGGTTTAGGGTTCAGGGTTTAGTGTTTTGGGTTTAGGGTGGGTTTAGGGCCTCAAGTATAGGGTTTGGGGTCGTGATGATTGAGGGTTTGCTAAGTATCCATTTAGCGGTTTTTGCCTACCGCGACCATGATAATAAATCCTACTGATCAGCGAGCCTATGCCCTAAACCCTAAACCCTAAACCCTACTCTCTAGATGGCACGGACTTAACAGCCAGGAGATATGAACTAGAAGCTGGCCTCCAAAGCCTAGAGGTGTTCTGAAATTGGGGTGCCCTTCGGGATAGCATAGGTTGTTTAGGGTTTGGGGTTTGAGGTTCAGGGGGCTTAGGGTTTGGGGCTTAGGGGGGTTTACTGTTTAGGGTTTAGGGCTTAAGGGCTTAGGGTTTGCGATTTTTAGGGTTTAGGGCTTCGGGTTTAGGGGTTGGGGCGTTTAGGGTTTAGGGTGTATGGTAATGGTTTCAAGGGACCGTTCTGGGGACTTCAATATGCATTGGGAGATCATTCCCTCATTTCCTGCTAAGCACCGGATCCTAGACCCAAAACGCCGGACCTAAACAACCGTTCGTTCCTCCCTTCCACAGAGTTCCAACTTTGAAAAAAGCTTTGAAAGACGAGAGTCTTTGCTTCAACCGGGCAGTTCAGTCATAGTTGCATTTATAGCCCAACTCCGTGCCCCATAGGTCCCCTTGGGTTACAATTTCACTGCCCCTCTACGTATAAGGGGAGGATGGATATGCAGGGGTATAACCCTGAACCTAGACTCTATACCCTAAACCCTATAGACCCTAAACCCTAAACCCTTAAACCCTAAACCCTGACACTTTCAGAGAGAGCCCGAAAGGATGGGTACTCCGTCGTGTCCCAGTGCACGAGGTGATCTTCTGGCAACCGAGCGAGAGCCAGACACAGGAGACTAGTTTAGGGTTTAGGGTCTAGGATGCGCTGAAACGTTGTTTGGTGCAGTCTCTTCTTCTATATGATACCTTCATCCGAAAGTTTCAACGCAGAAAGTTCTAGTTCAAGCTTTGCAAAGGCTAGTCCTATGGAGATTTGTCAGACAAAGGTCTTCTCCTCGACGTGCCCCAAAACAAAGGGGTCCCCCAACACAGAGGGGTCCGTACATCCTCTAAACCTTAGACCCTACACCCTAAAGCCTACACTGCAAACCCTAGTAAGCCCTAAATCTTAAGCTCTAAGCCTTAGACACAGGGGAATACTTGAGGGTTTAGGGTGTAGGGTTCAGGCCGTAGGTATTACGCTTACAGGGTTTAGGCAATAGGCCTCAGGGTTTAGGTATTGCTCCGTATAGCCGGACAGTAGTCTTTGTGGGTCCCTTTTGAGGTTCCTTTTTTGCGTAGAGAGAAACCCTAAACCCTAAATCCCTAAACCCTAAGCCGTAGAGCTTGACTTTGACTCCTTGGGTGGTTGATGCGTTGACAGGTTAGAGACTGGAACCCCCAGGAGTTCCAGCAGCTTCAAATTCGATATCTACTGAATTAGCATACTTCCCTGACGTAATCAAAAGGATGTGATTTTTCTATACATATACATGTATGTATCTATATATGCACATATATATATAGATATATATATATTCATTTACATCTATATTTTCGGAGGGAACCTGCAGGGTTACCATAGGCGGCATTGGCCAGGAAACCCCATATGGTGATTGCGAATTAAACAGTACGTGTCCCCGTGGGAGCCTGTAGTAAAGAGCATTTTGATGTCTAAAAGGGGGCCGCTAATTCTTAATAGTACAGTATTACGGAGGATTGGATAAGCAAGAACCAAAATGGTTTTGAGGTTTGTTTTAGGAACCCCATACCGTGATCTCATAGAAAATGCAGGACCATGATGTTGCCAATTATTTAGGCACGACTTTATCCATAAAAGGGTAAGTTTTCAATAGTCTCTCATCACTGTGGCCCCGCTTCTGGTCAGCTCTGCAAGTACAATACCCAAAGGCTTCCGATAGCCACATTTTTGGAGCTTCCCAAAGTGAGGGGTACCTTGGGGCCCCCATAAAAAGAACTGGAATAGAATGGGTCTACATTGGGGGCTAGCATATGGGGTGTACTTTGGTCTTTTCACGGCTTGGCATGTAGGTACCTTTGGATGCAGGTATATCCCATATGGGTATTGGAGCCTCTGGGATACTCTGTGAGGTGCATGCTCGGCTCAGGCGATTCAATGCTGCATTTGCTCAGCATGCTCACCCAAGATTGTCCAGCAAACCCTAAAACCCTAAAACCCTAAAACCCTGAACCCCAAAACGCTGAAGCTTCAAACCCTACAGCCTAAAACCCTTAAACCCTAACCACCAAGGGGGATAACTTATTTGCGTTACGTGGATACTTACTAAGTCCCCTAGCCCTCCAAGTCAGTAGAATAATGGAGCAAGACCATGAAAAGATGCAGGGAGGCAATAATTCTACATACGTTCGGGATTCTGCTAAGCCTTGTCCAGTATACACCTGCGAGCTTTGATGCTCTAATTCACATGCGCCTACCGAAGGTGCTTGTTTCATATTTGCGCTGCTGCAGCAATGCGGGAGTTTCCGAGATTTGCAATACGTTTCAATCCGATTTTCTTGCGTCCAGGGATTCCCACATCTTGGTGCATACCTTCAAGTTTAGGGTTAGGGGTTTAGGGTTTGGGCCTTGAAGTATACGACTTACCAGTCGCGCAGACATATCGTGAGTGTAAGAGTGCTCGCCCGCCCACAAGAGCACAAAAAGACTTCCCTAAGGGTCCAAGTAAGGACCTAAATGGTATCTAATCAGGACCAAAAACACGTACATAGGAATCCTTTTGGGCCCAAACTATCTTTTATCTGAATACTTGGACCCTTAGAAAGCTAGAGTCAAGCAATATTGCAGCAGACGGTAGTGTAGCGCACGCTTAGTATGTGAATCAGACCTATCACTTGAGTCATATTCGAAACTCCTTTATCCCCCAAAAAAGCGCCCAAAATATTGTGATGTTTTTGTCCTGTGTACCTTACACCCTTATAGGATTCTGTGAACGTGAAGGCTTCGGGTAGCGAATGGAGGACGGCATCCATATAGTCGTCCCGATATGGTAGTTTCCCACATTAAGCAGTCCCCAATATAGACCCCAGTGTACTATAATCATCATTCTGGGACCCCAAGAAAGTACCCCTAATTTAATCCGGATATCACCTCCTACAGTATAGTAGCAGAACAGTAGCGTTTAGGATCTGATCT